AGGTAGAACATTTGGAACACGTGATTCTTATCAATTGTTTTTTCTTTTAATAAAATTTTTATACTTACGTGTGAAGTAGGCGACATCATCTTCATTAAGAACGTCCTTATACCTTTCTTCTTTTTGAATTCTTCTTCCATGTGCCCCTTCATGGTAATCTAATGTGTCATGAGAGAACAAACAAGTTCATCCAAAGGAAGCTTTGTGAGATCCTTTGCTTTTTGAATCGCCGTCACTTTTGCCTCCCAACTTTTAGGTAGAGACCTAAGAATTTTTCTTACATTTTCGGGAGTAGAATATACTTTTCCAAAAATTTTCAAAGCATTTAGAATATTAGTAAATCTAGTAAACCTTTCACCAATAGGTTCATTTTCATCCCTTTTAAATGGTTCATCATTATGAACTAACATGCTAATTTTTGTTTCTTTAACTATTTGTTCCCTCATGAGTTACTTCCAGAGTTTTCCAAATTTCATACGTGGAAGAACACACATACTCTATTAAATCCATCATTACTTAAGGCACAATAAAGACAATTGATAGCACTAGTATTCAAAGAACATTTTTTCATATCATGCTCATCAAATTCCTCTTCTAATTTAGGCACCTCAATATTATTAACAATTTTTATTGGAATGTAAGAACCATTACTAACATTTAACCACAATTTATAATCAATCGATTGCAAATAAATTTTCATTCTAGCTTTACAACATGTATAATTTGTTCCATCAAAATAAGAGGGTCTAGAATTTGATTGTCCTTCACTAAAACCATTTTTAACACATAGGTTTGCCATAAGCTTGAACAATAAAGTTTAGATAAAAAATCTATAAGAGCAACCCGCTCTGGTACCAATTGTTAGATCGGTATGGCAACCCTAGAGGGGGGGGGGGGGGGGGGGGGGGGGGGGGGGGGGGGGGGGGGGGGGGGGGGGGGGGGGGGGGGGGGGGGGGGGGGGGGGGGGGGGGGGGGGGGGGGGGGGGGGGGGGGGGGGGGGGGGGGGGGGGGGGGGGGGGGGGGGGGGGGGGAGGGGGAATAGTGTTTTAACGATAAAAGTGTTTAAACGTGATTAATTTTTCTAATGATGAAACTTTTTACAAATAAGTAGAAGATGATAATTACTAGAACAAAATAATTCAAGTCAAAACAATAATCAATTAGAACCACCAATAAATCACAATAATAATTTTGAAATTAAATAGGAAAGAGTTGGAAAAAATGACACCGTATTTTTATTGTGGTTTAGTCAAACTCGACCTACTCCACTTCCCAAGCGCCTCTTGGGAATTTAAATAAAGAACTTTCTCGAATATTTCCACGAATTAGAGCTAAACTGCTACACTGCTCTTTTTACGAGTTTAAGAGCAAACTCAATCATTTCCATGACGTAGGATCAAACCGATACTAGTATTTGAATTTGATAGTAACACACCACAACTCTCTCAAAGAGTATATTTACAATTTGGAACACTCACAACTATTTCCTCACAATATAATAATAATATCTCTCAAGAATAAGATGAAGAGAAATAAACTTGTAAGCTTGGAGAGAGCAACAATCAATAGGGACTTTAACAAATGAGGATTGGAGAATTTATGGAAGTTGAGTTTAAGATGTGGGGAGGTTGATGAGTTTATATTGAGAAGAAAAATGGCAAAATGTAGGAATCAATATTGACCATTGGATTGTGTTCAGAATAATGGAAGGTGGAGATTAAAAGTAAATAAATAAAAAAATTTTACAAATTCATTTATTTAATTTTTTTAATATAATATAAAAATAATAAAAATTAATGTGAGTAACGGTCCAATAACAAATTCAAATTAATTATAAATATAATAATATAATAATAATAAAAAGTATGGAGTAACAAAAAATTTTAAAATATAATAATATAATAATATAATATAGTAATAATAAAAATCGATGTGGGTAAATATTAGATTCAAATTTATATTATATTTAGAAATATAATGATAAGAAAAACTCTACCATTTGTTACTCTTCCAAAATTATAAATGTCATACTTTGATATATTTTGATTTGTTCATCATTTTTATTTTGCTGTCACATCACTAAGTTGGATATGTTGTAGGTAATTTCTTTGTTTTATCTCTGATTTGAGTAATTGAAAAATCGTTGAAATCTTTATTCCTTATACCGTGGACAGTTCAAAATACTTAAAATACTTAAAATAGTTAATAATTAAAAAGTAGGTTTATTATCATTAAAAAATCAATCAATTAATGGATTGGAATTAATTAAAATGAGATCAAAACGGCCAAAAAGCCAACAAACCTAGGCTAAGGCTCTATAATCATCCATACTTGAATGAAGGTCACATAGAAAATAATCCAATAATCAATCAAGGGCATAACAGAATTTATTCATCATGCTAATCAACATGGTGTAGTCATGGACACAATGTTAGAATCCCAACACGGTTTTAAGAGTAATCAGAATCATATTTAGAGTAATGGAAATCCTATTTCATGCTTATGAGCTAAACCGTCACAATTCCATTTTATTAAGCTTAGATGTTTAATTTCTTACTCAAATCAATCCTATTACATATCTATAATCCTATTTCTCTAGTCAGTTACTACAAGTATTTCTATAAGAAGTATTTTTATAAAGATGGATTAAAAGTCTACAAATTTCGTGAAGAAATTAAGTTAATTCAAGAGAAGAGAAAGTTATGAAAAAAATAAAAAATAAAAAACTTAAGTTAGCTCGAGAAACATGCGTCATCCAAGTAAGTAACCACTTGGAGTATAGGCAAGTAATACTTGTAGGAATCGTTAGAACGTGTTAGCATGCGAATATAATGTACCTTTAGTGGTTAGAATATGTGTCACTAGGACTTAAAATGAGCAATTTGAATGAAGGTGGTTAGAATATGCTAGGACTTAAAATGAGCAATTTGGATGAATATGACACGTATGTTATAAAATTATGACATTGCCCTTAGAACAAGAAAATTGAGAAGCATGCATGATTTAATGTCTTTCGCTGTGGTACACTGGAGGAAGGGATACTCTGCTATGTGCTCTAGGCGATTGATGGATATCTGCCCGTTGAGATTGTTTGATTGTGTGTATGATTTATACCTTATAATTTTCATGCATTAAGGGGTTGGTAGGAATATCTTCTTAATAAACATTTGTGAAAGGGTAGACACATTCTATGTTTTAATGGCATTCGATAGATATATTTTCCCAGTAAAGCATGCTGCATCAAGAACTCAGTTAAGATTAGGGCGCTTTAGCTAGTGAGGATTACATGTAGAACCAAGTTAGTATGCTCCAATAGACATCGCACTCCATGATCGTTAGCGATTGGAGGTTACACCTGTGTGCAACCAGGGATTGGTTTAGCTAAGGGGCTAACCCCAAACATCGTGGAATTGGGAACTAAAGTTTAAACCACCTGAACACCCCTAAGAACCTTGTAGACCTCAATGGTGTAAGTAGCTTATAGAGTGATGAAACTAACTGAGTTACTAGTGAGTGTAGAGTCGGGTAAGGGCCGACCCCGTGATCCCGTTAAATTGGTTCTTGAGAAGAACTAAGGACTACATAGGTAGTTAGCTCAACATATAGACTCCTATTGAGTGTAGAATCAGGCGAACTTATAAAGCAGTGCTGATTGGACTAGGGACTACAAGGGTAGGTGTCAGGATGAGAGCCTCTATGTGTGTAGGAACAAGTCAAGGTCGATGCCATGACTCCGTAAACCGATCTTGGAAGAGATCAAGGACTACATGAGTAGATGGTTGATGATGAACACTTCTATTGAGTGCAGGAACGGGTTGAGGCTGATGTCGTGATGCTGTAAACTAGTTTCGAAAAGGGACCGGGGACTACACATGTAAATGATTAATGAGGAACTAATTGGAATTTCGAGACTTACACAGTAGCTTAGAGCACTGTAAATGGTAAGCCCAAACTTTCTAAAGACCAAAGGAAAGCCGTGAGAACCTACTTGGAGAAAGAAGTGATGAGAGCCTACAAGTAGGTTGTTTACTAAGCATGTTTTTATACTCACCCCTTTCTCCTTCCTTTTATAGGTATTCATGGGTTGCTGGTCAAGGTGGATGAGCGTTCGAGAGTTGTGCAGTCACAATGGGGGTCATTTCGAAGCGTCAGTCCATTTTTACGTTTTGGAGTTTTTTGTATTTTTCTTTATAATTGTATTTCGTGTTTGTAGTATTTTGAACAACATCCTCTTAGAATTGAATTTAATTTTGGTGTTGCTCTTTTTTTTCTTCTTATTGAATTTTTATCTTTTTATTTTATTTTATTTTTGTTTGTTTTAAATTTTTTAGTCTCCGGATTTTTGAAGTCTTGAAAATATGGTCGTGATAAGTTATTAGAGAGATATTCCTATTAATCTTCTAAATATTAAAAAAAAATCATCTAAACATTCATGCAAGCTTTCAACGTGGAAATAATATCCATCCATCATTCTGAATCATAGATCACAATATCTCATCCTCATTTATAGCATAATAAAAAGTATTAGAATGACATACCTCTTAAATCTTCGTCCTAGGGGGCATTTCAATAACTTTCAGTAACATACATATCATTCTCATCCAAATTTTCTTTCTAGAGTCCTAAACATGTATTCTAACCATTTAAAAAAGGATATGCTCATATATGCTAGCACGTTCTAGTGGTCTCTATAAGTATTTCTTGAAGAAAGTTTGAATGACTACTTACTTGGATGACTCATGCCTTACCGGTACTACTTTTTTTTACTTGTTAGGGGCTTCAATTTCTTGAAATTTCTCATGTAGACCTCAATTCAAGTTAAATTAAGGTCAATATTTGTAACGACCCTAAATTTCACATACTCAGAGTTGCTAGTAGCGTCTCATGCTCATCTCTAAGGCGGAAATATAACTCTTAAATGAACGTCTCATGCTCATCTCTAATGCGGAAATATTTGTAACGACCCTCAATTTCACATACTCAGAGTTGCTAGTAGCGTCGCATGCTCATCTTTAATACGGAAATATAACTCTTACATGAACATCATTTATAACTTAAACTTCGAAAAATACTCAAAACAACTTCTTCCGTAACTTCTTCTAAAAAACCCAGCCATGGTCCTATGTTTTTAAATAAGAAATACTAAAATTTAGAGAAAATAAAAATAAATATAAAATAATTTTAAAAAATGAAATGCGAAAGAACATTCTAACTTAAGACTAAGAATTTAAATGAGTCTACCCTATGCACGTGCCACAATCTTTGCTTGCAATGCCACCGTCTTCCGTACAAGTGCGCTTTGCCTTTACCTGAAAAATGATGTGGCACATGGCTTGAGTATTTCAAAAAATACTTACTAAGTGGCCCACTATAAGGGGCCATGCAAATGCAAACACATCCAATCATGATTTAGGGACCTATCTCTAAACATCATAAGGGTGGCCTCAAGTCTTGAACAAATTGGATGTGTAGTACTTTCCTACACACGACTCACACGTGCGAGTGTGAATCCCTAAGGCGCTCACACACCTCCTAGACCCTCTAGTCAAGCTAATCTGTAGCGACGTACGGAGGTCAGTAGAACCCCATAGGGTCATGCGCCTCATGAACACCTTAATCTGTGCGCATTCGCACTCGTGCACATTCGCACTCATCATCATACTGTGCGCGTCCGCACTCATCATCTCTAGGGGAAGTAGCTCAATGCTTATGAACATACAATATGCACAAGGTCCTTCTAAATTCATCATAATGTCTCTTCTGACACAACCCTCTATTCTCTCTCTTTGTTACTCTAGGTAACACATACACGTGGATATTTGTATTAATATCGTTTTCATGCTCTTAGGGTTATGTCCTATGTCGATCGACATGATGCAATATGACACTCATCATCATATAACATGCTTAATATGGAAAACATCATCATATTAAGGTAAACATCACGCAATCATCATACTCATCATATTGTTATAAAGTGTATCAAGCATATCAAGTACGCCATTCATCGAAATATATATACTACGCACATCATCAAGCATCATAACTCATACATCATCATATACTCATACGACATCATACGATACAACTCATACATCATCATAACTCATACAATTTTTAGCCTATCCTAACGTCACTTACCTGATTAGCTTATACTGGTGTTACCAATTTATCCTTAATGAAAGTTCGATTTTGTTCTTTGTATCCAAGTCAACCTATATGAATCCATGACATCAATTTCACGTTCAAGTCTCTAACTCTTACAATGGTTCATGTGCTAGACTTCATGCGAGCATTAAAGACTTGGAACGTTATAATATACATCTAAATATATATATACATATTATATATATATATATATATACATTCTATTTATATTAAGAGTTCATTTTCTATTTTTTTTTATTTTGAGGGTTTAGTTCTTGTCTTATGATATTCTTTCTATACTTTATCTCTTAATTTTTGTTCAGAGATATTTTCGGCTAATTTTTAATCCACTATTACTTAATCATGGTCAATTCCAATCTATTCTTACTCTCAATTCTTCCTTTTTATTTGTTCTTCTTTTCTTTTGATTTTGTATTTTTTTCTTCTTCTTTTCTATATTCTCTCTTTTCTTTCTTACCTTTTATTTTGTTTACCATGTTTGGCCTGTACTTTTTTTTTTCTTTTCTTTTGTTTACCATATAGTCTTATCTTTCCCATTTTTCTTCTCTCCATACGAGTATTCTAATTAATTCTTCTTTCCAAACCCTTCTTTTCTCTTATCTCTATTTTCTTTTTTTTTTTCCTTTAATTTTGTTAAAAATTCACTTGCATATAAATTCTTCTTTCTCAATCTTTCCTTTCTATGATCTGTATTTTTTTTTTAATTTTGTTAACATTTAAATTGACAGACAAATATATCTTCATTTACCCGAATTCATATAAAATTACCGACCTAAATCATGGCAAAAGAGAAGATCTAAGATATAATTGATTATAATTTCCTAAAAATAAAATTAGGATAAGCTAAAAGAAATGATTTAATATGTACCTTAATTGAGACATCTCTCTTCAGGTAAATCTGCTTCATCACCAAGACTATTTTTGTTCTTCTGTGATATTTGTTTTCTGTTTCTTTGTGCAGGAGGAGGTGTATTGTAGGGGAGGAGGTGTATTGTAGGGGAGGAGGTGTAGGGAAGAAATATTTAGAAGAAGGTGGAGAGAGAGTCGATCATTTACGTCTTTTTTTATTTATTTTTTCAGATCGTTACAGTATTAAAATCCAGACAAAAAGTAGAAACACTGGAGTCGAAACAAAACCGACGAAAAAGACAATCCCATATGCTGCCACACACAGTTTATAAGCTTTCACTCACGCAACCCATGCACGAATATTCCACGCTCCTAGGGAGGATACTCGCACACATGGCTTGACACGTTTTGCCTGCACGTTGGCTCCTTCGAGTCTTGTGGCGTTTGAGTCTTCGGTTGAAGTGTCTTTTAGTTATTTCTTCCTATTTTCTTTAGATTTGTGTATCTTTTTCTATTGAACTTAATACAATTTGATTTCTATTTTGAAGAGTTTTCTATCAACTTTCTAAAAAAATTCTTTTTATCATATTTCAAGTATGTAAATAAATACGTGAGGGTTAAAAATTAACTTATTATGGTTCTTGCTGATTGTAATACATGAGGTTTTCAAGGCCACATTTAAGCACAAAATAAGGTTTAACTGAGTTGTATAAAATGTAGGAAGTTTGTGTCTGGTCTCGGGTGCTATTTGAGTATCTGGGGTGCATTGAACTTCTGAATGATACTTTAGTCGCATTGAACTTCTGAATGATACTTTAGCTACTAACAGACCCACCCAAGGTACGAAGGGGGTGGTTCACCCATTTTTGGCGCCATAGGATTTCTGAGAGAAAAATCTCATCTAAGGGTAGAACTATTTTTTTTTTTTTGTTCTTAAATTTAGGTAGCTTACCTTACTTACGCAATGAATGATCTATGGGGACAATATGATATCTGCTAGTCTGAACATCTTCTATGGGAGTTTAGTTGGCAGACTCTCCCACGTGACCATAAAGTCACTAAAGCTTGTGGGGAGTGACACCCATGTGCTAGGTTCCACACCCCTTTAAAGATCGAATTTACGGCATAGAGACCCTGTTCAGGAGACTATTGACCATTTTAACATTGTTGGGGTACCTAGTCATCTCAACGCACCTCTCCTATCTAGCCTATGCCTACCATGACAGTATGGGTACTAGAGTGAAAGCAGGAAGGATTGGTACCAAAGTGGATAAGTAATAAAGACTCTGATGATACTGTGACACTATTATTAGCCTGAAGAGCTACCTTTTTCGCCCTTGGTTGTCATGGTCTACTAGGTTCTTAGGGCTTCTAAGCTGTTTAAATCCAATTCTCTCGGTGCACTCAAGTCTAGACCTCTAATTCACGATCTTGGAGTGCAGGGTCTACTAAAAACGTTTTGATCTAGGTCAACGTATAAACTGCACTAGTTGTAGCATCCTAATCTTAACTAGGTTCTCTCGTGCATGCTTTTCTAGGGAGATATACCTATTGATCACCTAAACATGTAACCCATAATTTAAACTTCACCTTAATCATATTTGGAAATCGAGGAGGTCTATTTGATTCCTAAGGCGACTAGGTGGCTTAACGCGAACTTCTGGCTCCAAATTGCTCTGTTCTGACTTCTCGAGTCTTTCTTAGTCTGGGAGCACTAGTGTCTTAGACTCTCTGACTGTCTCTCACGATCTTGAGGTGCTAAGTCTGATAGAGACGTCCTCACTTATGTCATCGTCTAGCCAATCTAACTCTAATGACCTAGCTTTGTGCAGATAAACACTCTCTATAAAGAGAATACACAATTAAACACTTGGAACTAAAACACATTATATCATGCAAATATACAAGAAAACAAGCTCAACGAGGAGATAACATCCATCAATCATCCGGAGCACATATCACAATTCCCAATCCTTCTTTCTAACTCAACAGAAATCATATGAAACAACATTTATCACAAATCTCATTATAGGGACATTTTGATAATTTCTTACATCATGCATAACATGCTCATCCTTATTGTCGAACTCACATTCTGGTCATGAATATTCTATTTTCATCTATGCATAATACATAAAATAGCATGCTATTCAGAAATCTCAACCTAGGGGCATAAGATAATTTTATTATACATACATACAGTCAATACTCATCCAAAAACACTCTTTTGAAGTCATTAACATGCATTATTAACCACCTATGGTAAGGAATGCTTGCATGCTAGCACATCCCAGCGATCCCTACAAGTATTACTTGCCCATGGTTCGTGAGGTTACTTACGTGGATGACATATGCCTTCCTAAGCTAGCTTTTCTATGTGTTAGAAGGTCCAAATTTCTAAAATTTCTCTAGTAGGTCCTAGTTCAAGTAAAATTACGATTAGTATCGAAATTGGAACTAAAAACTGATAAATGGAGATCGAACGGAGCATCAAGAGGTCACTCACGTATCTACACGCATGAAAGAACACTCCTCATCCGTGCCTACAAACGAGCCTAAAAGGAGTACAGACGTGCCCTCAAATCAACACATGGCAAAATCCCATTGGTTTAGGGTCAGAAAAGTGGGTCGGACATGTGTCACGAGTGAGCTTGCGCACCTTTGAGTCCTACATAGTGCAGATTAATTCTGATTTTCCCTCAGCTTGTCTACGCTCAACATGTGGTGATGTCGCAGTTGGCCGTGTTTCGTTGGTGTCTGTATGATGCATGTCATTCTGCATTTTAATTATCTTTGTATTGATTTTCATACTCTTCTCTATATAATTCTAATCAATTTGGTTGGTAGTATGGGTTATTTCTCTTACGTTTTTATTAGCAACCATAAGAAATAATGAAGTTGAAAAATGGTCCTAATTCAAAACTTTCCATTTCTTGACATTACACCATCTCACCTTTTTCGAATCAACTATAACTTTCTTCATGAATCTTCTGTGAAATATTAACTTGAGCACCAAGAACATGAAATACTTAGCTTCCATTCTTCTTGATTCTGGTTAGATTTGATCAAATAAAAAATCCAGAAGAGTATTTCCAATGCCTTTGAGCATTTCTTAGGAAGGAAATCAAGCAAAATTCAGACTTCAAATTACAGCTTTGAACAGATTTCGAACTCGTTATTTAAACCAACCCCAAGCATACCATTTGAAAGTGATTCAGTAATTAAATCTGCTATTTCAACTTGGGATTTCAACTCTCTCTCTCTAAAGACTCTAAAACTCCATTTTCTTTTCTCATTTTCTCTCTTTCTTTTTCCACATTATCCCAGTCTGATCTAATCCAGACCTATAAGTAGGAATAAAGTGCCAAAATGACTAATTTACCTTTGGGGTTGGATTTTGATCCATTCTATAAACTTTTTTCTCTTTCTTATCTCATCTCAAAATTTAGCCTCTAGAGTCTTTAACAAAATTTCTAAAGTTTAGCTTTAAAAGTAAACATCTGTTATTTTATTTATCATCTGAGATTCGATGTTACATAATCACCAAATTTAAATGCTTTATATATGAAACCCAAAACTTTCATATGAAGAAAAAAAAAGGATTTTTCTTAAATTGTACTGTATTTTATTTAGGTGAGATTTGAAGGAGTGATTTTAGCAAATCTATTATAATTAAAAAAGTAGTTTATTTCAAAACTGCATACTCAATAACAAGTATAATATGTGCAGAATAATGTTTGACATGATGTATGTTAGTTTTATTTATTAAGATGGAGTGAGAATATGAAGGGAGAATATTAGTAACATTTAATTATATGACTTTGTAGAAAATAAGGAATTAATTATATGACTCTGAAGAAAGATTCATGGACAAAACTAATTTATTGTTTACATAATAGGAACTAGAATGTACTTGAATTAAAATCTATTTTAATCAAAATAGAGCTCATCCATCCATTCAACTAGGTGTCCACGAACTTTTATCTGAGCTCTGAGAAATTTGAGCTTAGTTTCTATTGTTATCTGAGCATCTAGGGAAGCCTCGAAGTTTTGAACAGATCTATGTACTATATCTAGGTCTATACAAAATTTTCAATCTTTATGTTCCTTGACTTTGGTACCTTGCTTTACTTGAGTAGTGAATGACTGGAATCTTGGGTTGAAGCGCTTTCTCATAATCATGTGATAGGACGATATGGTGTTTGCTAGATTAAATATCATCTATAGGAGGTTAGTTGGCGAACTCTCCTATAGGAGCATAAAATCGTGCCTTCTATCGAGATAGGTTTTATTGCCAGTAGCCCCATTTAGGAGTCTATTGGTCTTTTCCTCTAGGTAAGTGCACTTGATTACCTCGTGCACTCTACTATCTAGCCTAGGCTTGACTCATGATACTTGTACTACTTCCGTTTGGTAGGATGTTGCTAATGCTAAGAGCGTACCAAAGAAAATAAGAGGTAGAGACTCTGGTGACACCATCATACAGTAATCTGTCTAGTGAGCTACCTTAGTCATTCTTGGATGTCATTGAAGTCTACTAGATTCTTAAGCGCATTTAGGTATTTTAAATCATATCTCGCATTTCTAGGACACTTGATTCTAGCTCCTTAAGGCTAATCCAATCTCAGGGTGCAATCAAGTTTGGACCTCTGATTGCCGCTCACAATCCTAAGATGACGGTTAATTGGAAACATAAAGACCTGGTCAACTAGTAAATCGCTCTAGCTATAGATCCCTAGTCTTAACTTGATTCACTAATGTATGCTTTGTTAAAGAGATACTATCAGTTACCTAAAGTACGTAACAAATATCTAAACATTAACTTTGTTATCTGCAGGCGTAGAGGAGATCTACTAGGATCCTAAGGCGGCAAGGCAGCTTAATGTAGACTTTCAATTCTACAAAAAGCTAAACATAATATATTGTGCATTCATACAAATTCAACAAGGAGATAATATCCATAAGTTGCTCAAGTATAGACCAAAATATCCCATCCTCTTTTGTAACATAGTGAAAAACATTAAAGGTAGCATGCATCTTAAACTCTAATCCTAGAAGTATTTCAATAATTATAACATACATTGCATTCTCATCCAAAAAAATTTTCCTTTTTATGTCTTAAACATGCATATTCTAACCATCAAAGGTTAGATACACTCGCATGGTAGCACAACCTAGCAATTCTACAAGTA